TTCTTAAATCTTTATGACACTTTCAATTTTACATTTTCCCAATTATTTAAACTTTATGATCATTTACGACTGCAACTAGTAGCAGCAGCAGTTAGCTGTAGCCTGGGACACTTTTTTTTGCAAACATATCAAACATCCTTTTTGCTAGAGGATGCATGTTGCTAGAACTAAAGGTTTTAATAGTGTTTGCATGAACGAAAATGAAACTTATGAGATTTGTAATCCTCCTAGTCTTGGCCTTAGTCCATCTGGTCAGATATAGGCTTTCTTTCTTAAAATCGAGGTTGGTGAGACATATTATTATTATTTGTTCAACATTTTCTACAGAACCCTGCTTGAAATGACCTGAACTACCTCTTTAATTTATTGTACACTGATGACAAATGTGTAGCGGTTGTACTGTTTTAATTTTTGCCAAGTAGCTTGTTCTAAACTATACAAATTGTTTGCTCTTTTAAATTTTAAGTTCAAACCTTATGAAGTAATCTTAGCTGTGACAATTACAGCAAAGTTTGTTATTTTTTAAAATATACAGTATTTTGAGACCACGAGAAGCAGTAATGTTAAGGGGGAGAGGTTGAGTTCACTTAAAGAGAGAGCTGAGCGATAAAGACTGAAGGCAGACAAAAACAAGTTTAGGGTTAGTGGGAGGGGGGGGGGGGGGGCACAAAAAGAACACCTGTTGAGATTAGGGTTGGCACGCGACCCACTCCAGCTCGCGTGGCAGCTGCACCTCGCCGGAACAATGGCAGTAAAAAGAATGAGACGGAGAAAGCAAGAGGAAAGTTTGAATGCGCTGCTTATCCTTTCGGGTCGAGCATGCTCTTGTGTGTGTGTGTGTGTGTAAGTGTGTGTGTGTGTACGTGTGTGTGTTAGTGGTGGGCATTTCACTGTGAACACTGAGAAAAAAGAAAGGGATGGGAAGAGGGAGGGACATAGAAAAAAAGATAAAAAAGTTTGCAAAGAGACATAATTGTATGCTTGTTGTAACTGTGAGGCCAGAACTGGGTAAAAGGTCATATTTTTTTTGGGAATAGAATAGAATAGAATAGAATAGAATAGAATAGAATAGAATACCTACCAGCTGCCCTTCCAGGTGCTACGAATTTTCAACTGTCTATTTGAAAATAATGTGTATAATGTAAGAATTTAAAAAGCGTTGTGGCCATCTCACAGGAATGTGTTTTTGCTTTTTAAACTCTGCTCTATGAATCTAATTTAAAGGACTCGCTCTTAAGGTCCTTCACCAAAGCACAGCCACATTTAAAGGATAGACCTAATGTGTCATGTTTTCCTGCATTTCCTCATTAATTGGCATTGTGGAGCAGTGTGTGAGCTCTTGAGTTAACGTTGCAGTTCTGCTCCATGAACACACAAATTGGAGCCCAATTACCCACATCTTTACTTGGCTGCACATCAGATATGAGTCCGTACTGAATACATTTACAGCTATAGTGAAATGCAACCTATACTTTCTAATACAAACTTCCCTCCTGTGGTCCATTTCACCTTGGGGGTCTTTTCTATGAATGTACAAACTTGGGTAAAATTGTTGGTGCCCTTATTGAAACAAGGCTTTATTATTTTTAAGTGATTCAATTAAAAGCAGGTGTCTAATATACATTTGCATGCTGTAAGCATGTGCAATGTGCAAGCTAAAAAAAAAAGAAAGAAGAAATTATTTGTCCTTTTTTTTTTTTTACAAAGACACGCTAAAATACTGAATTTGTTTGTTGGTTGTCTCAAAGAGACTATTAATCCTTGCATTAAGTATCCTTGCAGAAGTATTTTTGAATTTGAATTGAATTATGTTTCAAAAAGTGTTTGATCTTTATTATTATTATTATTATTATTATTTCAGGTGCCCTCAAGCTATTCATCAGCCAATCAGCCTGTTTAAAGGAAACAAATCGGGAGTTTGGTATCATTGTGTGCATCACATTGAACATGCAGAGAAAGAAAGTCAAGAGCTGTCTGAGGAGCTCAGAAAGATTATAGATATATTAAAAGCTACAAGACCATCAGCTCCTCTGAGCACAGTTCCAGGGCTGATAGCACTCTGAGGTTGTGCCAGATCTCCGGCATAGCTGCAAAAAAAAAAAAAAAAAAAAAAAAGTTCCACCAAAGATTTAACAAACATTTCTCTGGATCTGATAAAATAAGCACATTTCACTTTAAACACACTGGATAGTGCCTTCTAGCCAATCAAAAATCAGATTGGAGCGGGAAAATTTGATTCAGATCCAGCAGAAGAAGTTTAAGCGAAACTTCAAATAAAACAATATATTTGTTAGAAAAAGACTGACAAAAAAATAGGCAATATCGAAGTTGACAGATTTTTTTTAAAACAGATGACAGAGAAGATGAACCTGCAGAAGAGTATTTACTGACTCCACCTGAGAGAGGACGAGGAGCGGTCATGCAGGTGGGATGCTAATGTTAGCTGGACAAGAGTAGACAGGTGGAGCGGAGAGAGAAGCAGGTAAGGAGAAACAAGTCTGATGATTTTTATAACAGTGAACCCAAAACAAATTGACCAACAGGTGTGTGTGTGTATAGGGAGAAAGTGTGTTTGTTTTTGTTACCTGGTGTGGACAATTTTATACAATTTTCCTGGTACACACAGCCTGGTGAGGACCCACTTTTACTAAAAAGAAATTGGGGCTTAGGATATTTTTTCCCACTATCAGCCCTGCAGGCAATTTAATTAAAAAAGTGTAAGGTTCATGGGGCTGTAACCAACCTCTTAGGATGTGGATGCAAGAGTAAAATGCGACCCCAGGTCGATTTGACAGCGTGCATAGAAGAGGAAGAGCCAAGGAAACCATCTGAGCTGAACTCCAAAGTTAAAGGGACTCTTCTTTTATTTTTATTTTTTTTTATCTTCTAGTTTTTTGCATTTTTAATCAAACTGGACTCTATAGAGCAGGACCAAGGAGAGCTCCACCACTGACAGATAAATAAATAAATAAATAAATAAATAAATAAATAAATAAATAAATAAATAAATATTTCTTGTTGACAGATTTTTCCTTTTGGGGAGAAGATTTTGGGACTGATGAGACAAAACTGGAGCTTTTCAGCTCCACACACATTCGGCCTGCTTTAAAGTTATTTTTCAAGGATATCAACAGATTTATTAGAATATCCACATACAAAAAGCATCTCTCTTGTTGCATCACTTCACCACACACACACACACACACACACACACACACACACACACACACAC